GATACATGGAGTGGTTGCCTCCCACACACACCCCCACTGGGGTAGCGGATCGAACCTGCAACCCATGTACGTGCTCTTGTCCAGGAATTGAACCCTACAAACTACTAACTCACCCTGCTCAGTCAGACAAGATGAGATGGCAACGTAACATATTTACAAGTACATAATATATAGGGAACTTTACAAGGATAATTTTTTAAATTAAGAACATTTCATCACACACAATTTACAGGCCTCTCTAAAAGTTATTTTAAATAAAGAAAAACACCTCTGGCCTGTGTGGCTCAGTTGGTTGGAGCATTGTCCATGCACCAAAGGGGGGTCTTAGGTTCAATTCCCAGTCAGGGCACATACTGAACTACAGGGATCCATGTATCATACATCAATGTTTCCATCTCTCTAAAATCAATTTAAAAAAAAGATTAAATACAGAAAATCATTTTGTTCATAAGAGTGGTGTCTTGTTCCTCATCTTAGAGAAAAAGCTTTCAGCTTTTTACCACTGAGTATGATGCTAGCTGTTGGTTTTTATGATGTTGACATATGCTCCCTCTTTATTCATTTTGTTGAGAGTTTTTATCATAAATGTGTGTTGAATTTTGTCGAGTGCTTTTTCTGAATCTATTGAGACGATCATATTTTATTCTTCATTTTGTTTATGTGGTATATCATATTGATTTCCAGATATTGAATGACAATTGCATCCCAGGAATAAATCCCACTTGATCATGGTTTCGGATCTTTTTAATGTATTGCTGAATTTAGTTTGCTGATATTTTGTTGAGGATTTTTGCATTTAGGTTGTTCAGGAATATTAGCCCGTAATTTGCTTTTTCTGTAGTGTTTTTGTCTCCGTTTGGTGTTGGAGTAATGCTAGCTTCGTAAAACACGTTTGGGAACTTTCCTTCCTCTTCATTTTTTTTTTGAGTAGTTGGAGGATAGGTAGAATTCACCTATAAAGCGATTTGGTCCTGGACTTTCGTTTGTTGGAACTTTTGATTACTGATTTGATGTCATTAGCAGTTATTTGTCTGTTCACATTTTGTTTCTTCCTAATTTAGTCTTGTAAGATTTTATTTCTAGTATTTTATCAATTTCTTCTAGGTGGTCCAATTTATTGTTATAGGATTGTTTATACATTTTCGTATACTCCTTTATATTTCTGTGGTGTCTCCTCTTTCATTTCTTATTTTACTTGGACCCTCTTTTTTTTCTTGTGGAGTCTGGCTAAAGTTTCACCTATTTTATCTTTCAAAGAACCAGCTTTTAGTTTGGTTGCTTTTTTAAAATTGTTTTTTAGGCTCTATTTTATTTATTTCCTTCCTTCTACTGACTTATGGCCTTGTTTGTTCTTTTTCTATTTCTTTTAGTGAAAGGTTAGGTTGAGATTTTTCTTGTTTCTTGGGTAGGCCTGTATCACTATGGATTTCCTTCTTAGGAACTACTTTGGCTGTGTCCCAAAAGTTTTAAAATCTTTTTTTTTTTTTTAAATATATCTTTATTGATTTCAGAGAGAGGAAAGGAGAGGGAGAGAGAGATAGAAACATCAATGATGAGAGAGTCATTGATCAAGCCCGCAACCGGGCATGTGCCCTGACCAGGAATCGAACCCTGATCGCCTGGATCCTAGGTCGACGCTCAATCACTGAGCCACACCTGGCCGGGCCCAAGAGTTTTAAATCATTGTATTTCCATTTTCATTTGTCTGAAGATACTTTTTATTTCCTCAATTTATTCATTAACTAGTTGATTGTTCANACCCGGCCGGGCCCAAGAGTTTTAAATCATTGTATTTCCATTTTCATTTGTCGGAAGATACTTTTTATTTCCTCAATTTATTCATTAACTAGTTGATTGTTCAGTAGCATGTCGTTTAGCCTCCATACATTTGTTATTTCCATTTTTCTTCTTATAATTGATTTCTAGTTTCATACAATGGTAATTTCTATCTTTTAAATTTTTTGAGACTTGTTTTGTGGCCTAACATGTGGTCTGTCCTGGAAAGTGTTCCATGTGCTCTCGAAAAGAATGTGTATTTTGCTGTTTTGGAGTGGAGTGTTCTGTAAATCTCTGTTAAACCCAGGTGGATTAATGTGTTGTTGAAGGCCACTGCTTCCTTGTTGATTGTCTGTCTGCATAATCTAAGCATTGGAGTCAATGGACTGCTAAATAACCCTACTCTTACTGTATTACTGTCAATCTCTCCCTTTATATGTTATAAAATATACATTTGCTTTATGTATTTAGGTGCTCCTACATTGGGTGGGTAGATAATTATGTTACATCCTTTTGTTTGAATCATCCCTTTATCATTATGAAATGCCCTGCTTGTCTTGTTACACTCTTTGTTTTAAAATCTATTTCGTCTGATGTAACTATTGCTACCAGAGTTTTCTCATTTCCATTTTCATAAAATATCTTTTTCCATCTCTTCACTTTCACTATCTTAAGTGAGCCTCTTGTAGGCAGCATATGTACAGGGTTGTTTTTTTATCCATCAGCCTTCCTGTGTCTTTTGATCAGAGCATTTAGTTCATTTATATTTAAAGTAATATGCATAGATACGTACTCATTGCAATTTTAAGATTGTTTTTGTAGTTCTTCTCTGTTCCTTTCTTCGTCCCTTGATCTCTTCTCTTGTGCATTGAATGCCTTCTTTTGTGATGGTTTGGGTTCATTTTTCTATTTTTGTACATTTATTATAGATTATATATATACACTCATGGTATACTTTGAGAGTTGTGTATAACAAGCTATGATTATAGCAATCTATTTTGAGTTGATAGTTGCTTAGTTTGAATGCATTCTAAAAGCACTACATTTCTACCCACCTTCATTTGTTTTTGATATATTTTACATACTGTGTGCTTATACCCTTTTATTTACTACTGTACTGATACATGATCTTACTTTTGTCGTTTAATCTTCATACTAGCTTTATAATTGCATGATCCACTACTTTTACTAAATCTTTGCCTTTATCAGTGTTTTTTTCATTCACATATTCTCTCTTTAGTTTTGGCTTTTCGTCTTAATGAAGTCTCTCTAACATTTCTTATAGTGGCATTTTAGCAGTGATGAATTCCTTTAGCTTTTGCTTGTCTAGGCAACTGTCTCTCCAATTCTGAATGATCGCTTTAACTGGGTATTTTTTGGTTGTAAGTTTCTACTTCATCACTTTGAATATCTCGTGCTGTTACTTCTGGCCTACAAAGTTTCTGCTGAAAAATCAGCTAAGTGTTATAGGGGAATCCCTTGTACCTACCTAGCTGTTTTTAAGGTTCTCTAATTTTGGGAATTTTAATTATGATGTGTCTTGATTTGGGCCTGTTTGGGTTCTTTTTGTGGGACAATCTGTGCTGTCTATACTTGGATGTATGTTTCCTTTACAAGGTTAGGAAAGTGTTAGCCATTATTTTTTTCAATTAGGTTTCTGCCCATTTGTCTCTCTCTTCTCCTTCTAGGGTGTACTGATGATGTGAATGTTGGTATGCTTGATCTTGTCCTAGAGGTCCCTCACTATCCTCATTTTAAAAAATTTTCTTTTTTGCTGTTCTCATTGGGTGACTTCACTACCATGTCTTCCAGCTCACTCACATTTCCACATCATCTAATCTGTTGATTCCTTCTAGTGTATTTTTCATTTGTCATTGTAGTCTTCAGTTCTGATTGTTTTTTTTTCATATTTTCTCTCTCTGTTGACATTCTCACTGAGTTCATCTATTCTCCATTCTTATAACCACTGTTTTGAACTCTATCGGGAAGATTGCTTGCCTCTTTCACTTCATTTTCCTGAAGTTCTGTCCTTGCTTTTCATTTGGAAAATATTGCTCTATCCTCATTTTGGCTCTCTCTCTCTGTTGCTGTGAATTAGGTGAAACAGCAGCCTCTCCAGGTCTTGGAATGGCCTTATGTAGCTTTCCCTTTGTAGATGGGTGTGCCACATATCTTTGGCAGGCAAGCTGGAGTGGGCATGGGCTGCGGGGAGACCTGGGGGAAGAGGCAAACTGGGGCTGCCTTGATGAGCAGGTTGTAGATGGAGCTGGATTGAGCTTTGGCCACAGGAAATCCCAGGGGAAGTCATGCCAGGGCCTGTAACTAAAGGAGAAACAAGCCATGGGGAGTACCAGCTGCAAGCTCTGCCAGGGTTGCCTTAGCCAGATGGCTCAAACTGTACTTGGAGCACACATGGGCCCTGGGAGCAAGCTGTGCTGGAGTCTGGAGGTGAGCCGAAGCAGGTGTCTGCTGCAGGAAGTCCCTGTGCAAGCCTAGGAGTTGGTGAGTGGGCCTGGTGTACACTGAGATAACCTTGGCCAGCTGGTTTGAGCACCTGAATTATGATCCTGCCCAAGCAATCAGGGTGGAAGGGAAGTGCAACAAATGGCACCCTTTGGTGCCTCTGACAACAGAGTTCCCTCAGTTCCCCTCCTGTTTGGCAGATGCTGTTTGGTTAGTAAGTGAATTTCCTTCTAATGTTGTTTAGGTGCCCTTTACACCACTTTTTGCTGTATCCCAGGGTGAGTGAGTCTGTGGGCAGGACCCTCAGTGATCCCTCCCTACTGCAGATCATCAGTTCATTGGGGGTTGGGGTTCCCACAATATTGTCTCCATCTCTCCTACCCATTCCTATGTGCCCTCTCTCTCATTTGTTGTGCAGAAACTCTTCAGTCAGCCCTCAGTTATTTTTTGGGGGGAACTGCTTTGTCTGTAGGTATAGATGAGTTTGGGGTCTTCCTAGGTCACCATCCTAGACCCCTGCTTAGCCCTACAGTTTTCATTCAATGGCTGTCTGCATGAAGTGTGAATGTTTATTTTTCATTTTCTCCTCAGGCTAATTCAAGTTGTCAAATCTGATTCTCTGTGACTGGATGGATTCCTTATTCTTCCCTCCAGAACACTTTTCTCTAGTTAATTCTTACTAGACATTTTTATGAAAGTGCTAAACATCATTGTAGCAATGCAGGTGATACCTAAAGGAAAAACAAAACAATGTGACACTATTTCTTTGTGCAATACACTTTTATTTTCCTTTTACCTTTGCAGTCATCTTTGAGTAATCCTTGTGTAAACAATAGAATGGAATGATATTACATTAAATTGTATGCAAATGGCTCTAGAACACCTTAACAATTATGACAAGGCAATTATAAATAACTTTGTTTTCCTTAGTAATATATATTTGCTTTTTAAAGGACATTAAAGAGCTGCCGTATCTAGGGTTAGCAAGGAAAGAGCAAATGGTACCATCCCGGGAGCCCACCTCCCTGAAAGTTTAGATTCCAATTTTGAAAATCCTAAGATTTACTATTCCATATTATGTAGTCAAGCAGAGGGCTACTTGGGTTGAAAGGATTTATTCTTGAAACTTAACAGCACTTAACCTTTTAGTCATTGCACAAAATCCTTTCTGTTTTACTCTATCTGGGTATTGTGCAGAATTTCAAGTAAAACTCAGATTCCGGTATTTTCAAGTTTATCACCTTTGGGACAGCAAATCCTATCATTTAAGGAGAAGTCAAATCAGAGATGGGTACATAATTAGCAAGCTAACAGAATGGCAACATTTTATATAGCATTCTAAATGTTTTAATGAAGCAAAACTTACAGATGCCACTTTGTGTGGAGGAAGTTTTAGATCTGAGACTATTGCAGAGTAAAGCAGCCTCAGGCACATTCTTAATATGAAAATTTGCAAGGCACCTCCCTCTCCCAGGAGACAATCAGATTGTGGATTGGTTTTTAGGCAAACAAACCAAAAGAATAAGCATCCTAGTTCTTAATTCAGTCATTTCAAAAATCAGAAGTTATAAATACTCCAAAGATAGACCTGAAACTTTTTGTTTAAATAACAAGAGATTTACCGCAAGAAGCATATAATCAAAAACTTTTCTTTTCCTAGCTAAGGTGTGTAATGCATAAATATATGAAAAATAAAATTCACAGTCAGTTTTAAAACTAGAATTCAAGTTTGGCTAATAAATCTTAATTTTATAAGTATATTAATTTCTAAATACAACATAAAAGAGGCAGCATTGTCAGATATACAGTTGAAGTATAACAGAAAGAACAACAATGAAAGAAGAAGTAGCTTCTGATAGAAAAAAATTCCTTTTGTTGCCAATAAATAGGACCACCTGAGTGTAGTTCAGATTCTTTTCACTTAAGGGATATCCGAATTAATTGCTAAGAATATTAAACAGCTTTTGGAAAAATTAGCAACCGTCGTGCAGCTGTGGCATTGGCTTGTTCTTATACTGTGGATCGCTAGAGAATAAAGCAGAACTCGGAGTGTTAAGTTTAAAAAATTCTTTTTTATCCCATTTTGTCGAAGCCGGCCTCTTCACAATCTTCCGATTTTGCTGGGAACAGGGAGTGAGGGGGTGGGGAGGGAAAGGCTGGGGGGAGTGTGGTGAGTGAGGGGAGGCATGACAGGGTCAGGGCACATCAAGGGACATGTATCAGCTGACACTCAACTGAGCAAACCCGATCAGCTTCACTTCGTCAGGAATCTCGGATCCATCACAGCCAGAAGCCTGAAAATGGAAAACAAAAAAACCCCAAAACCTTGAGTGCTGGTTTGTCACTTCTGGTTTTTACAGACTTGTTCATGTGATGGCAGAAACAAGAAAAGACATATTCAATATGGGGACATGCGTCTTCTGCTTCTTCCAGAGAATCAAATCCCTAAATGACTACTGGGTACTAACTCCTGTAAGAAATCTGGTCATCATGCTATCAAATACAGAAAATGGGGGGAGGGATTTGTTACCCCTTAAAACACCACCCCTTAAAAAAAGTCCTTTGCAAACATCACAATGACCTGCTTAGCACTGCTCCACAAAGCAGCACATAAACTCAGTCCTTTGTCAACCCCAGCCAGCATTTTCCTTTAAAATAAGCAGCTAATTAGACCATGTAACTTGAATACTTTAAAATAATTACCTTGAAAATAACATTCAGTGTGAGTAGTTATGCTTACACAAGAAAATCAGTAGCCTAAAGGGTAGAGACATTAGCTAGCATTTAAAAAATTTACTTTGTGCCTATCCAGTGATTTCTCTAGTTTTACTTTATAGGTAAGATATTCAGTAAAGTGCAGTTTTCATTGTTTGCATTGCCAGGGGCTGATCAGAAACACTCCTTCCCTGATCACTTTTAACCAAGTACTAACAGGCAGAGAAGGCTTTTCAGCTGAGATTTTCTGGTGGGTGTTTTTCTTACTGCTACTGTCAT